TTATCTTTCAGTTCTTTTTTGATTAATTTTAATATTCAAACACTTAAAAATAATGAACGCTATGAGAAAATTTTTGTTCACGCTTCCATTCTTCGCGAATAGTTCAGATAAGATTTGCTCCCATTTCGTTCCCTGGCAGAAAGTCCATGAGACTTTAGTTCCCAAATTGTTATTCTAGTTCTTTTCCAAAACGTTCCGAAGACTTTTTTTCGAATTTAGTTCTCTTTAAAATGTTTCCGAAAATATTGTTCGCATTCTGTTGTCTTAGGGTTTTGGTTCTTATATAATTCCCATCGAGAACGTTCTCCACAATTTTGTTCTAATTTTGGCTTGGTTTTGAATCGTTCTTGGGAATAAAACTAGTTTCGATCATAAGCGACATAAACAAAAACGCGAAAGTGTTGGATTTCAGGTTTAATAAATTTTTTTTTAAAAGCCAGTTTTTCCTTGCGAAGTATAGTAACGAAATGCCTAAAGTGACTTAATTTTATTTAAATAATGACTGAGTAAATTAGTAAATTTCCAATAATTATTTAATATTTGATAAAGTTTTATAATAATCGATATTTAGTTTTAAAAACTTCTTAATTTTTATTTTCAAACACATGTGTCACCCCGTATATGGCTACACTTCCGTCACCGCAACAGCTGCTTAACTTTAGTTTCCGCCTTTAAAGGCGTCAAAAATTAGCTGCTTATTTGCATTTACTAAACGCGGGAAAAGTGATTTTTATCAATAAATATGAAGATAACAAATGTTTTCTGTAATAAAAGGTGCAGTAATTGATGCTTTGTTAACAAAATAAGTTGAAAAGCAAGCCGGGCAAGTGTATAAATGTGTTTATTTTGCGTGTAACAAATGTGAAACGCAGTGAAAGTCGGCACGGTTAGAAGTTAATCAAGTACTTAATTTTTAAATAAAAACCAATGTAAATGCAATTTTTGGTAAATAATGCCATTCAATTGCGCGTTTTCTAATGATAACAACAAAAAAACTCATGCCGGCAGAAATATTTAATTGCTTTTTTAGCGAGTGAAACGAGTGTATGTCCAGTTTGCAAATAAGTGTGAAGTTATATTGAAATAGTGTTGGTAATGATAACTTTCTTTCCGAAATCAATTCTAGAT